TACATTGGGGTTATATTGGGACAATGGAAAAGAAAATGGAAACTACTGTAGTATATTAGGGTTATATTGGGGTTATATTGGGATAATGGAAAAGAAAATGGAAACTACTGTAGTATATTAGGGTTATATTGGGGTTATATTGGGACAATGGAAAAGAAAATGGAAACTACTGTAGTAGATTAGGGTTATATTGGGGTTATATTGGGATAATGGAAAAGAAAATGGAAACTACTGTAGTATATTGGGGTATGCAACTAATATTCTATTTGGGGGATACTATGGTACCCAATAATGGAGAATCAAATGGACAAGAAAATGGAACATGAAATGGAAATTGGGGTTATATAGGGTTTATATTAGGGTTTAGGGTTTGGAGTTTATGTAAGGTTTTGGGTATGCAAGGATTATATTCTGTATTGGGTATACAGGGATTACGTTAATGCTTTTTGTTTTTGCGGTTTTACATGGTTTTTATAGGAGAGTATAGAATCAAATGAAGAAGAACATGGAGATTGAATTGGAGGCCCTAGGTCTCTTTAAAGCGAGATATAGGGTTGATGATAAAGAATCAGAAGGCAAAGAACATTAAAAAACGAAAATTGGTGCATATAAACATTGATCTGATCGCTTTTGCTGATTGCTATTTTGTTGTAGATATGCTACTTGCTACAGCTGCCATTGATGGCATCCTTATCACAAATACGATTTGTATTTGCCAGACGCAGGGCTCTCCATTTTGTGCTCTGTGGTTAGCTAGAATTCCTCTCACGTGGATGCTCCAGGGCCCTTGTTCGACTTAAACCAGGCCAAACCCTGAGTTGGGTCAGCACATAGGGTCTTGGCTCCACTTGTGAGGCTGAGGGCTTCAAGTTCATACAGCCCACAGCAATGCTGAGCTCGACCTATGGCATTCTGCTATTGCAGTCCCTTTTTGTTCCCGTAATCTCTCAAGATCCGTAGTTTACGGTTATAATCCCCCTTAAGTAGATAGAATATGGTGTACATGGGGCTCTTACTATAATGTACCCAGAGCCATATTCTATCTACTTAAGGGGGACTCTAGTTCTTCCAAAATATCTGGCCCTTGCCCTTTTCTCACGTCTGAGGTTCAGTGCATAACATCAAGTGCCCCAAGAATCTGGAGGTTACCTGCTGGTCCCAAAATTCCCCAAAGCTCATGACTGAAGCCACATCTCTGCAGTTCGTGCTAAATCCCGCGTAATTACCCACGATGTCTCCTGCACGCCGAGTCGGGATGAGCCGGTGTCGATGATGCCTGATCTTCTTTCTATAGTTTGGTAAAAAATGCCCTGGTCAGGGCAAGAGTTAGGATTGTTTTTAGATTGGTAGTTTCCCTAAATAAGGGGATCCCAATATAGACCCAAATATACTATAGTCCTTATTATAGGGACCTCAAAAAGGTACCCCTAGTTTTGGGAAATTCCCATTAGAGCGTTGGGAAGGTCTACACTACACGGTACCCATGCCATGAGCTCAGGCGGACTCCTCAGAAGTCTTCTCCCATGTGCACATCCCCTCTAACTCCGCGATTCTGAACGCCTAGACTTCATGCTCAATCCCACCTAATCCGTAAGTCTTGAAACCATAACCCCTACTAACGCTTCTCCTGCTGGTGCTTCAGGGGGCGTGGATTCCTACAACTATCCATGTACACTCCCACTATGCACTTTCATTGGAGTACCTATTTTCAGTTCTAAATTCCCGGTAAACACCGGTAAGTTCTGCCAAATAAGCTATAGTCTAAACTCCTGGTATCCCCCTTAGTTATTAACCCCTGTTATACTCCCACCCCTATATAACCCTCTTCAAGGAGTTTAGATTATAGTATGAACGCCTCTGCAGCCGGACTTGCAGTAGTCCACGGTGACGTTGCCAAGGCGAACTGCCTGGACAGCCTGAGCCAGTTGAGGGATCTCAGGCCACATGGTTGCGAGTTTACAATAGGAATAACAGTAACAGTAATAAGAATAGTAAGAGTAGTTTCAGTGGTAATAGGAATAGGACGGCGTAGTTGTAATTGTCGTCGTTGTCGTCGTCCTCGTCGTCGTCGTCGTTGTTGTTTGTCGTCGCAGTAGTAGTAGTAGTAGTAGTAGTAATGGTAGTAGTAGTAGTCGTTGTCATAGTAGTAGTCATGGTGGTGGCAGTGATGGTGATGGTGATGATGGTGGTGGTGACCTAAACCCTAAGCCCAAACCCTGTAAGAGTAATAGTTCCAGTAGTATTAAGACTAGCGATAATAATCGTAAGGGTAATCAAAATAATAATACCAAAAGCAAATGATGAAAATCATTCAGGGGTCTAGGGATGTGGGGTGCGAGGCTTGGTGAGCTTAGGGACGTGGGGGTGCAGGGTGTTAGGGGTAAGTGGGGTTGGGGTGGAAGTTTTCAAGGTGACGGGTGGCTTTGCGTAGCTATAGAAAGGGACGCATAGCGCGGGGGCTTTACGTGGTACATATATGTTGAAGGTCCAGGGATGGAATTTAAAGGATTTAAAGGGTTGAGGATTCAAGGTTTGTCAAGGTAGCCCGGGGAACGGACTCAAGCAGCAAGCTTTCTCAATAGAGGGAACTAGATGAGCTATAGTCTAAACTCCTAGTATTCCCCCAAATAAGCCCTATAACACTCCCCTGTATAATCCCCCATTTAATCCCCCTTTAAGGAGTTTAGATTACGGCTCAAATGCCTCAGGCATCCAGCCATCTGTTGTAAGCATTACTGAAACTGTCGTGTCCTGGCTGCTGAATATTGGAGTTTAGACTCGTTTGGACCCGTGGGTTTGTAGTTGGGCAAAGATCGACGCGACTCCTTATTCCCGGTCCTGCCATCCAACGCAAGGATGTGCTACGTAGGATGTCGACGGACATTCGCGAGTGATGAGATGAGATAAGTATTTTGGGGTAGATACTGGGGTCCCCCCAATTCAGGGAAACTACCATATAATTAACCCCTATATAACCCGGTTTCCATGCATTTTCCATTTGATTCTCAATTCTTGGGTCCGATACCTCTAAACCCTAAGCCCTAAACCGTTGCGGTCCCCCTATTTAGGGAAACTGGTAGTTCCTAGAATTAGGGTCCTTTTGTGGTACCCGTAAATACTAGGCGCCGTAATATAATCTATAGCCAAAAGGGGCCCGTATTTTTCAGAACAACCCATATTTGTTCAATTCCCTAAATAAAGGGACCCCCAAAAAGCGACCCCTAATTATGGGAAAGTCCCATGCTACTAATGTTTGAAAAGCCCCATGCAGAAGTAACCATGAAACGCAAGTTTCTGGCGTGGGTGCTCCCGTGCTCAGCGCATTTACGCCTTGAGCGCTCTGAAGCTTAACGAACCGAGGGGCATCTTAAGCCAAATAGCTCCTAAATCACATCCCAAGCTCAGTCAAGAAACCTTTGAACATCTATGCTAGCAGGCTCAATCCCAATGAATCCCCAGCTTAGTCTCATGAAGGAATGTAGGTATATGCGGAGACACTCTCGTGTAGTTGCAGCTGCAATGTTAGTTCCAGGGGAAATGAACGTTTAATCTGGTCGCGCAATGCTGTCAAAACCCTGCAACCTAAAATTCTATCCCACACCCCAAGCTCTGATTTCGGAGCCCTGCACCTGTCCTCAACCCAAACTCTCTAAGGAGTTACATTCCATCAAATTAACATTGAAGCCTGTGGCGTTGCAAAGATGGCTGTTTCTTGAACCCCCATATTCCCTACTAACAACCAGTGTTTGGGGAAGGGCAAGTGGTGCAAAAAGCAGCTCAGAAACAACCTCCCAGAAGCCGTCGTCAGGGTGAAGCACCGGGAACCTGACTTTCTGCATTTTTCTGATCGGGCGTTCATATAGAAATAGAGGTTTTGTGAGAATATGGTAAGGATTATACAGAGTTTTCCTTCCAGCAGTATGGCAGCTGGCGTGTGACAGTAGAGGTTCTATCCTATCTGCCTTCAACGAGGACCATCATCCACAAACAGCAGCCACTGTTGAAGCCATTGTGCAGCTATGAAACCCAGACCTCCACGTGACAGCATGGCAAACGCCCTGAATCCTTAAGCCCCCAACGTGAAACCCGAACTCTTTCAATCTTCAACACAATCCCTCTATTTCCTGCGAATACTTTACATTTAAAATAGGGTCGCCTTTGCATACCCGAGGATGTCTAATATCCAACTTGGGCCTTTATGAGCCCAGTGAGGAAAAATTCGGCTAAGCCGAAAACCCTAATCAAAGAAGACCAACCCGGAACCCTAAACCGCAAAACTTAATCCAAGAAGACCGATGGCATCCTGTGTCCTCTCATGGTTCCTAGTAATCCCCTCCCCTAGTATCAAACACCCCAAGCCCCTTATCATAATATTAACTACTCCCCACAAATTTTAATATATCACAATGGGAGTATTCAATATCAGGGGGGTGGGGGATTTAATGCTAGGGGCCTCGAGCTGCCCAACCCCCCTTCTCTACATCCAACCCGGCTTTCATATGCATCCCTTGGAAAGCTGTCACCTAAACGACTTTGTGTGGGGATCTCTGGCTGTGCTACTATGAAGGATATTGGGGATGATGGGCATCTTCCTTCCCTTTTGAAAGATGCTCTGGGACCTAGAGGACCTAGGCCTAAACCCTAAACCCTAAACCTTAAACCCTTCATAGCCCTAAATCCTAAACCCAGAGCCCAGGGGCCACTTCAAGTCCTCAGCAAGCCTCGCAGAGTCATGACCTCCGAAGTATATCTCTCCGGACTGGGCACCCAAAGAGAGTCCAAACTGAGGAAGCATGGAAGGGTTGCCTGGGCCAGAACTACCAGTTCGGTGGACACCCCTCCCTGTAATAGAGACTATAAGGGGTAATAAAGGTTATATTACGGTCCTATTTTATTCCTGTTATAGCACTATTACAGGGTGGGGGGTCCTCCTCAACTATCAGTATCATCCAGCATGCTGGAGCAGTAATTGCCTAAGTTAAATTTCTACAACAACTGCGCAGCTTGCTTGTAGACCCCTGGGCCCCTGGAGAAGTTCTTGCCACAAATACAAAAGACATTCAATACTGTTCCCATCCCAGGTGCTGTCCATAAGACGCTTGAAGAACACGCAGCCAGCTCCACTGGAAAGACCGGCCATGCTCAGTCCGAGCATGCCATCATAGGGCATAGCATTGAAGAGTTCGTCCTCCATCTTGATGGCGGCCATAATGTCGAGATCCGTGCACACCTCAACTCACAATCCAAATCCTATCCTTCTCATTCGTGTTGGAAATCCTTGAAGTGATCGTAAAGTCAGCAAAAGCTTTGCAATTTTTCACAGCTATCCCGCCGACCTGATGGCCAAACTCCGTGCCAAGGCAGACGTTGTCGTGCACCAGAACGGCACGAGCCTTGCCCTCCCCGAGGTCAGCTTGTGTAAACTCCACGGTCACAGCATCCCGCATGGTCTTGCCTAGGCCATTGTATGGCAGAAGCTCTTTCAACATCTGCGAGGTCTTTCAGGACGTGTTGAACTGAAATCGTCCGTGTCAAGGGAAAAACGCTCATAGTTGCAGCGAAGATTTAGGATACTTCAGGCATGCAAGACATCCGCCGCAGGGCCCATGCTTGGTCTCTCGCTATGGCAGGAAATTGAGAGCAAGGATCTCCAATCAAGAGCCGTCTAACAAGTCCTCAAAACTCACCATCTAGACCCCTGACATCCAAACCCTTCAAGCATGCAGAGCAACATGATCGGACTCCAAACGCAAAAACAATAAGTTTCGCGAGTTGCCCCTCACCAGGCGCTGCCCCTCCTTCACCTGGGTTGCTGTTAGGGAACTTGAATTTAAGTTACCATGATGGGTTTAGATAATAAATAAAAGGGTTTCCCCAATGTAGCGTTAGGGAACTTGAATTTAAGTTACCATGATGGGTTTATATAAAAATAAAAGGGTTTCCCCAATGTAGCATCTTAAATTCAGCTTCTTAACAGCAAGCCAGCCACAGGCTTGCCATTGGTGTTGACATCCACGGCAGTGGAGGACTGGAACGGTGAGTATCGCTGGTGCTTGTTGCAAGCCTCACCTCAGTTGTCCAAAGCCAATGTCAGACTGCCTTCAGAGCCCATGGCATGATGGAAGCTGCTTGTGTCTGGCCGTTAAGAGAATTCAATTTAATCAAATAAACTACAAGCCACTTCAAGATAGGCATTGTTCCATGTCTCTCGACCTGCCAAATCAAGAAAACCTGCTTTCCTCATAGCTATTGTTTCTTGGTTGGCCCTTGGAACCCTTTGAACAATATTAGTATATGGTACTTTCCACAAATAGGGGAACCCCAATATAGACCCAAAACTACTATAGTCCTTACTATGGGACCCCCAAAATGGTACCCCTGATTTTGGGAAACCCCCATATAGGGTCCTTATGAAACCCATTAGGGAAAATATTCAAGCATCCCAAAGGCTGACCCAGGTTTGGTGCTAGCTTTACGCTGCCTTTCCTGAGTGTCTGAACCTGGGAGTTTCCCAAAATTAGGGGTACCTTTTTAGGGGTTCCCGTAAAAAGGATTATAGTATTTTGGGGTCTATATTGGGGTCCCCTTATTTTGGGAAAGTACTACCTAGACCCACAAGACTGCATCAGTAGATTGTCCCTAACTACAGCTTCATTACTGAGCCGTTCTGCTGAAAACAAGATGCCTGAATTCTTCGCTTTCTCAAATCACATTGCTTTCTCTTTCAAGCAGTCGGCGTTATACATGGGCATAGGGGCCAAGGATTACGGAAACAGAGGCGGGGCGGATGATTGCCCTGCAGGCTTATATGGCAGGACTTCAGAATTGGGGTCCCTTCAAAGCCTCACCAGCAGATGAGCTATAATTGGTCTAAACTCCTAGTATCCCCCATAATAATGGAGAGTCAAATATAATTAGTCTAAACTCCTAGTCTCCCCCATAATAATGGAGAATCAAATGGAAAAGCAAATGGAAAATGAAATGGAAACTGGGATTATATAGGGGATTCTAGAGGTTATAGTTATAATCTAAAGTCCTAGTATCCCCCTTAGTAGCCCCAACAATACTGCCCTTTATAATGCCCTTTAAGTAGCTATAGCTCATATGAGGCTCCCTCTTATCGGATTCTCAGGAATGCCAGCAATTTTGATTCGCGTACCGTCCCCCTCTGTACTACCACCCAAAGCTTCCTCTTATTCAACTTCCATGAGCCTTGAATAAGCTTAGTCTAGGGAGAAATCCAAAGAAGAGTAGTATAGGCGGGGCGGTTAAGGGAACCCAAAACGACATAGTCATGCCTGTTTTGTGTTTGTCCATGCACAATTTACTTGGGGGGTCAGGGGGACTTAGTAGGTAAACAATTGGGATAACTGGGATTTCCATATGGGTTATAGGAGTTATGAACCTACTTACTACGTCTCCCTGACCCTCCAAGTAACTCCCTCTTACCATCAACTCCCCCACCCGCTTTTCATAACTATGACCCCCATCAATGGCACCGCGCTAGGAATGTTTTTTCTCCGCAGGTGATGTGGAATCTTATTAGGGCGAGGTTTTTTTGCCCAAAGGCCGAGACATGTCGTGCCAGCCTGTAGTTCCTTTTGCTGGTGCCCATCCCTTGAGTACTGCCGCCACACAGTAACAGTCTATATTAGGGGTCCTATTAAGGGCTAGATATAATATAACCATAGTATAATTATTATCCAACTGTTACTGGGTGGGGCAGTACCCAACCCATCCCCTATGAACAACCCCAAGATACAATACGTACAGAACTACCAACAAGAAGGCTTTCAACCCCCCCCAAAAAATGGACTGCATAGCTATCATGTGTCCGCAACAGGGTCCTACTTTTATTGGGGATTGGGATTCCCAAGCTCGTCTAAGCTCTTAACTCTATAGTCCCCCTAAAATGGATAGAATATGCTTTTGGGCATATTATAGAAAGATCCCCATAGATTCCATATTCTATCTACTTAACTGGGAACCATATACTCTAAACCACAATCCTCTGCTAACTGTGACGACCCGGTGCTGCTGCAGGAGGAGTGGGGAACCAGAAGATGCCCGGAAGCCGTATCGAAGAGGACCTTGGAAAGCTGAAGGAGGCTGTGGGAGCGTGTTTAGGGTTTAGGGGTTTAGGGGTTTTGGATTTTAGGGCTTAGGGTGCGTAACGATGTAGGATTTGGGGGTTGGAAATCTTTGGGGGTTTCCCAAAATTAGGCGTACTTTTTGGGGGTTCCAAATAATAAGGATTATAGTATTTGAGGGTCTGTATTGGGGTCATCCTTATATACGGAAACTTCCATTTCAAAGTTGGGGAAGGCAGCGCTGAAGGTGGCACCTTGGGTATGCTAGGCAGCTTGAGCAAGGCGAGGCTTGTGCGAAGATTGCCCTACACATCCTAAAGGGACTGTACTGGGAACCCCAAATAGGGAACCCCAAGAATATAGCAGCAATATAATGGAATATGAGGACCCTGGTAGGTATATTCCTATTATATACCTACTATATTCTTGGGGTTCCCTATTTGGGGTTCCCAGTAGAGTCCCTTTACATTCGGTTATTTCCCTATAACCCAAAAATCTCAGGACTCAGACCTTGACTCTTGAATCTGGTCTCAGTATGCTGTCCCAACCTTTGCCCCCAAAAGCGTTATGCAGGAATAGAAGGGGAATGGAGAAGAGAATGGACAACTTCCACAATATTCACACCTGGGGTTTAAGGTTTAGGGTTGTAACCCGGTGCAGTGAGAACGTGTGACTTTTGAATCAGAAGTAAGGCCCCTCGTCATGCCTGTGTACTGAGGCTCATGAACATGTTGTATATACGTGCCCCCAACCGAAGAATCTAAACCTGAGTTCATATCCAGTCATCTTAGTAGCTTCCATTTTCTCCTCCACTACCCCCAAATCCTCCTTAAGCTAATGAAGTTATTTTGGTTGCCCCGACCCCCAGAAGCATGACCTCATGATGGTCATGTGACAATTCTAGTTTGCCTATTATCAGGGTTGGGAAAACTAAAGCCCCTTATTGTAAGCGCCAGTCTACGAGCCCGAAATCTTCAGCAATTCTAGTGTGTCCTACCCCAAACCAGGACCCCGTCTTTGAGAGGTATAGGGTCCTCATTATAGGGGTTGGAGTAACTAAAGCCCCCTTTGTTATAAGCACCAGTGCCTACACCTTAACCCTAAATCTTCAGTCTCGACTGGCCCCCCTCAAAAACAACAAAAAAGAAAAAGAGGCTGCGTAGGGGTAAATACGGGAATTGAAAAGAGCTTGGAACCTACAATGAATTCTAGGGTCTAGAGTTGAGGGTTATATGCTTTCCCCCGAAGCAAAAATATTTCCGTCATTGTACATATGATGGTGTTTTAGCAACATCCTAAACCCTAAATCCTAAACCCTACATAACCCCCCTTTGAGTTTAGACTTTGAATCATGTTGCATCACTTGCCACATGAGGAAAACTGGGGTCATCCTAGAGCCTACTAGGATCAATCATCTGGGTTGGGGGGTTATATAGAGGTTATATAGGGTTTATAGTTTATAGGGGTTATATAGCGCTTAGGGGTTAGGGTATATTGGGGTTAATAGGAAAGAAAATGGAAACTACAGGGTTTTTATCGGGGTTATATGGGGATAATGAAAAAAGAAAATGGAAACTACAGAGATTATGAGGGTCATATACGGATTATAGGGTATCTATAGGGGTTATATGGGGATAATGGAAAAGAAAATCGAAACTACTATTTAGTGTTCAGAGTTTAGAGTTTAGGGTTTAAGGTTTAGCTGGGGCCTGAAAAGATGGAAACGACTATGATGGGTTATATAGGGACTACATGGTTTCAGGGTGTCAGGTTTGGGGTTCAGGTTGTTGTTAAGGGACTTAAATTAAGCTACCATAATTGGTATATAGGGTATATGGGGTATATGGTCTAGCGTTAACATGATGAGTATATATAGTAAATCATCAGAAAATCCCTGCAATAGTAACTTAAACTAAGTTCCTTAAGGCTGGGAATTAGGACCACAAGATCAAGGGTGTAGGCTTCAGGGAGTAGGGTTTAGGGCAATCATTTTCAGAATCCTAAAGCCCCTGAACTTCCAAACCTAGGCCGCAACCCTTCATCTCTGAAATCAACAAGACTCTAAGGGATTTGGAACCCCAGTAGAAATTATAATTTCAGCTAAATATTAGGATTCTAGGTAACAGAAATTAAAACCATTTTCAGGAACCTTGTAGAAGACCTTGCTTTGCAACTTATTGCTCGAAAGCTATCGCGAATCCCAGAGTCCCCAACCCTCAATTCCCAACACCCCCTCTGCCAACACCCCGTCTGGCCTGCAACTCCTGTGGATTCGGTTGTCCAAGTGCCAATCTTCCCACATAGAAGTGGGAGTTGTGCACGCCGTCGACCTGAGATTTAGGGCCGGTTTACGAGTATATAGGTGCTCGTTTTCAGCAGAGGCGTATAGAAGGAAACTTCTGCACATTCTTCCATTCAATTTTATTGGAGGACTTGCTGGGGTTTACTCTTCCAGCAGATCAAGAAGTCGGATGAAGACTCGGGTTTAAGTTCTCCATCGCAAACGATCTACGTCAAGGCCTTGCTTGCAGTATGAAGAATATGACAGGAATCCCCAGCTTGGGCCCTGACCTTACCAGTATATTGTTGGGACTATATAGGGATAATGGAAAGAGAACATGGAAGCTACTATTTAGGGTCTGGGGTTTAGGGGTTATAGGCCCCCTTAAGTAGAAAGAATATAGGGTATATGGGGATCTTATTATAACATACCCAAAGCCACATTCTATCTACATAGGGGGATTATAACCTTGCCTCTAATGAACAAGGAATGAACTGGGTCTAGGGTTTATGGTTCGGGTAGTGAAGGTATGGAAAAGAAAATGAAAACCACTGTGTTACTGGGGATTATATAGGGGCTACTATAAGTATCTATTCCTTCATTCCTTGCTGACCAGAGGTTAGAAATGCATTATTGTACAGAAGGGCTCTCCAGTAAAAAGGCTTTTAAGGGTTAGTTAAACCTTGCTAAGCGCGAACCGTAGAGGGGTAGCATGCAAGGTGTGGCTCAGCAGCTATGCTGCTAATCTGAATCGTAGTATGGTTCAAGAAACCTTAAACCGCCTGAGTTTGAATTGCAGGTTGGACGACTCACTGGATCACGATCAGACTGCCAAACATGGATTTGAGGAGCTTGTGTTGGATTTGTTTGGGTCTCCAAGAGGCTTCCGAATGCTACCTGTATCTTTATAGAGTTTCCTATCTCGTCTGGAAATCGTCTGGAAGACTTACGACAGTTTTTGAAGGCTCCTCCCTTTTCGTGGGGATTATAGAGCAAGTTAAGCAACACTAGAACCTGAACCTGAATCCAAGATTCTGAATCATAAGCCTACTTTAGAGTACTGTAGCAGCGGAAATAATTACCACTATCATGTTAAGGTCTAGTTGAAAGTATAATTACACTAGGAACCTAGGACCATAATATAGGTCATGATCCCGAAAGTCCACTGCATGACCCCAGTTTCCATTTCATCTTCCATTATCTTCTCCATTGTTGGCTATTATACTTTAATCCCTTAAGCGCTAAATGACATGAGAGCTGCTGATTTCCTTTCCATTCCCTCTGTATATCCCTACATAACCCAGACATAACCCCCATATAACCCCCTAGATATGGCTAAATCCCCATATAATCCTGACAAAATACCTATATAGTTCTTATACATCCCCTCCTAGCCAGAACACCCCCATATATCCCTATAGGGATGATCTCAGCCAAGCGGCACGCTGAAGTCGCACAACCAGGGGCTCGGGACCTCGCTGTCTAGCCTATCCCAGACCCCATAAAGGACCCAAAAAATGGACCCCCCCCAATATGAACCCATTACTACTTGGGGAACCTAGGGGATTGTTAGGGGGTTCCACTTTTTGGATCCTTTAGGGGGTCTGGGATACCGCGCTGGCCTATCCCTCCCCTAGAATGGGGATATATGGGGTTTTCGAAACTAGGGATACCACTTAGGGGTTCCCACACTAAGGATTACAGTATATTAGGGCCTGCATTGGGGTCCCCCTATGTTTGGAAACTACCATATGGATAGATAAATCCTACCATGCGTATATAAGGATGTGAGCCACTGTCAATATTTCTCACATACTTAATGGACGTGGGTTTCTTATTAGGGAGTATAACTAGAATCGCGACCCCTCTGTCCACTGGGTCCCTGGCTAAGGCAGATATTGACAGTAGCTCATATATAGAACTGGGGACATAAGGATATAAAGGTTCATATTGATGTATGAATATATTTGGATTGTATAGGGAGTCTTGTCTCTCCAAAACCTGTATGGGGACCTCAGTTTAGACACTCCTGATACACGGCAATCCTTATTATACCGGACTTCCAAACAAGGCCTGGCAGTTCACACGACGGTACTTATTTGAGATACCTAAATAGCAGGGGCCGTGTTATAATGAAAGCCACCCCAAGGGAACCATCACTTTGACAACTTGCAATTTTCTAGACCCCCCTTGGCTGATAGTGTGTGCGGGCAATTTTTGGGAGGCCATGTTTGAGGGGGTAATGCTTTGGGGAAGCATGTTGCCCCAAACCCAAACCCCACGGCCTAGATCTTCTAGGCGTTCAGGCCCTAATGGCCAGACAAAGCAGAAAGCCCTAACACAAGGACGACAATTTTAGCACCTTTAACACAACTTCCCAAAGCCCCATCACTGCTTCCGATTTATTGATACTATCATCATTACTATCATCATTACTATCATTATGACTGTTACTTTTATTCTTACGATTATTATCATTACTAGTCTCATTGCTAGTATTATGGCTTTTCTATGAAATCCCTTGGCCAAGAGGCCTGCCCTGGGCTCTGAACTGCGCATGCGTAGGATGGTGCTGCCTAGATCAGCTGCAGCAGGGCCGAACAAAGCGAGGATGAACACCGCAAACCTTAGGGTCTAGGGTTTAGGCTTGTTTAGGTTTATTAGGGCTTAGGGTTTCGGCAGGCAGTGTAATTTAGAATAATTTCAACTCCCAATTTGAGGTACTGCTCCCCCCAAACCTCAAACCGTATATAACCCCATCATAGTAGTTTCCATCTTGGTACTATTCTCCAGCTTAGCAGAGCAGCTCCACCTTTTCTTTGTTCAGTAATAAACACATAGTAGTTTCCATGTTCTGTTCCATTATCCCAATATACCCCCAGTACAACCCTAACATTACCCTGATGGGCCCTTTATACTTATAATGTTGCAAGGTTTCAACACGCGCATCGCTATGCAAGCGACAGGTTCTTTAGGGGATCTGTATGTTTGGTGATACCTAAGGCTTCCTTGGCTGTTGTTCGGCTAAGGTGTATGCATTTCAAAGGAACAATCACAAAGGCCCAAAACTATGCTCCGCAAAACCCAACCCTTTCGGAGCAAAGAGGAAGAAAGTGTGTCTCTTCAGCCTCGTTGCACTGCAGCCTTAGTCATGCTGTGCTTCGCGGTAGAAACTACGTTGCAACGAGGAAGCTTCTTGAGTGGCAGAACGGCTGAGCAGCAGCAGACGTGTGTCCTATGCACTATGAAAGTCGACCCCTCGTTGACGCTGGCCAATCCGTTCCCGTAGCATGACAGATATTCTCCCATTTAGAAGAAGAGAGGAATTCTCAAACTCATAGCAGTTTCATTCTACCCCTAAATTCTAGCTGTATGAGGAATGGCCCCCATGACCTCAGTACGGGCTTCCAGTTTCGTAGGTGTTGTCAGGAGGAACTAACCACAAAAGAGTTTATACCCTGACGCTTACGGAAATTGGTGGTGTATGCTTTGCATCTTCGAAGCACGCGGGTCGCTTTTTCTTGCCAGTGTCCTTTTAAAGAAACATGTGTCACCATGCATGCTACCTTGCCTTTTTGGAGGTGTTCTTGCACCTAACGGAACTTCGTATTGCTGCATGTAGATGGCAGGTAGTATTCTCAGGCTTCCTGTCTGCTTCAAAACATACCTGTACGAGCCACAATCAACATTTCCCAGATTATTAAATGAAGGACACGAGTCCCTGAAAAGGCCATGTCAGGGACTTTTCTTTACTACAAGAGGGAGCCCTATGCTATGTCGTCTGTTCAGGGTCTGTTAATAAGCCTCATATTGACAGTAGCTCATCTGGTGCCTCCTGAGGGTAGAGTGTGCCCACATTGGGGCAATAATCAAAAGGTTTTCTATGCAAACATGCCCTCCAGTCCTATATCACTGCCTGCCAATATTTATTTGTAGGTGACCAGAAATGATTCCAGAATGACATTGGCCCCTTAGCCAAATGCTTTGTCTTAACAAGTGACAATAGCAGGACCTGATTCATCCCTATACGTCCGCTATATAAATCTAGTTTCTACTCAGTTTTCCTTTTTTCACTTTATTCTTCATTACGGGGCTAGTAGTATCCTCGACCTCTGGTGCTAGAGGGGATTCTTTAGTTCACACGATTTTACCTGCGAGGCGAAGTGTACTTCTTGTTAATGCCAAAAGCTGCAAGGTTTGTGACCAGCCACTCAACCTGAAACCCCCGGCGTCTGTTCCCATCTTGCCTGTTCGGCCCACCCTGCCCGAAGAAGCCTGCGGCCAACGTGCACATCCTCATGTCTGGAACTTTAAGGAGCCCGTGTTTAAGCTTGCGATTCCGAATTAGAAGGCTCACCCTAACGAACAAAACCATTCGACAGCTCCCGAGTCTGTCTTGCAGGTCCCGGTTTTTGGGTATGGCGCCTCTTGGCAAGCAAAGGCAGTGGAATGCTGATGCCAAACTGTTCTGCACCTACTTGCACGCTGCTAGCAATGAATGTGCAAGACGGCCGCTCCTTTCTCGTCCTTCTTTTGAAAACAGTTGCTGGCAACAGAGCTGAAGCGGAAACGACGGCCTGTTCTCTCAAGGTTCGAGCTCAACCACACGTCAACATTTCGAATACACATGCACGACTATCATAGCTATCATCCTCGTTGCTCATGTGGCTCTCTTTGCCCTCGTTCTTGCAAGACACGCAGTACATGATGAAAAGATGTCGCTTTCGAGACGGTCAGTGATTGACCGGGACCTCCCTGCAGCCCTTCCTTCGATAAAGCTCCTTTTGCTGCGGACGTGACCAGACATCTTCTCTTTCTACAGCTATGTCTCGCAACATTGCATGGGTCCAGATTCCTAATGCACGGGTCAAGTGATGTATGGATTACGGTGCAGCATATGTGGCAAGTTCCGTGAACACTCCGCACTACTGCCGAACTGCCCCAAACAACAAAACCCTGGAAGAGAACATGGCGCGATTCCCGATGCAGAATGGATGTCTTTTTGGAACACTCCCCAAACCGGCTGTTGTCTCAGTGATCTGTCAATCTGAAGCCTAAGTCCCAAAACGTCAATGGTTGTCATGTTCCCCTTAGCATCCAGAAGCCCCTGGACGAAGCATGTTACCTCGCATGGTGGTCAGGATCTGGAACTCCACATCAGTATCCTCATGCCGGACCTGGATTGAAGGCTAAGGTTTGTTGTTAAAGCGCCCCTTTTACCCTCCATTTACAGTCAGGCAAAGCTCCCTTGGTGCGGACATTCTCAAGGCTAAGGTTTAGGGTTTAGGGGTTTAGGCGAAAGATCCCATACTCTTTTTTGCTGGGCTTTTTGTCGCATGCTGGGGCATGGAGTTGAGTCTGCCTGCCCCCTTCCAAAGGTTTTTCTCTGACCATCTTTTAGACCAGCTCTGTGTACACGAGTGTGGCATGGAACCGGCTGCAACTCTTGAGTGTTGAAGCTTAAAATTCTTTTCTTGGGGTTGTAGCCTAATAAACCTTATTCTGGATTCGGGCTTAACAGCTCAGGCTGCTTTGTCGTTTGCTGAATCATGCCGGAAGGATCAGGCCTGAGCAACGTGTACTGGGATTTCATGAAACTGCTTCCAATGAAGGTCATAGTCTTTGAACTTTCAACTATGCCTTGTTGTTTTGCCCAACCTGAATCTTAGCAGCCTAGATGCTACAAAAAAGCAATCCTTGGGTCCCTGACTACACTGTGCCTGATACCTGACCCTAAATTCCCTTAACCCTATACTCTTTGGTTTGGGTACTGCCCCCACTCAGTAACAGTTGGATAAGAAGTATAATATGGTTATATATAGCCCTTCATAGAACCCCTAATATAGACCGTTACTGGGGCGGGGCAGTACCCAACCTTTGGGGCCCTGGGCCAAGGTAACCCTTCACGTCTCCTCTAAGGCCCCCGTAAGCCTTCCCGCGGCCCTCCTTGAGAAAGCCAAAACATGCTGAAGGTCAGGGGGACGTAGTAAGTAGGTTAATAATCCTAAACCCTAAACCCTATATAAGCCATATGAGAACCCTGATTACCCCACAGAGCCAACCTCCACTTTCAGAAGCAGCGTTCTGTTCATGCAATTGCGCGCAGTAGGGGGATTAGGGATTAGGGTTTAGGGCTTGAAGGCCTATAAATTAGGAGGACCCCCCCCCCCTGTGAGGGTGGTATAATGGCAATATAATAGGACCCTAATATACTTACCATTTTCCCGTATAGCCACTACTACAGGGTGGGGGTCCACCTAAGCAATAGATCTCGCTTGCGAGATATTGCCATCAGAAGTGATCATCGCATCCCAGTAGAACTATATTGTGTTAAACTGCTGTTATGGGACATCCTTTGCCATCCGGGCTTGCAAGGAACTAAAACGGCTACCGCCACAAAGTAATCCTATCATTTGCGATATACCCATACTCTGGTAAACATAACCTAAACGCTACAGAACCCCCATGCTACCCCATTCAGGGAAACCCAGCATCTCAAGTTGGATTAAATTCCATGACAGCAGCCCAGTATCACTAATCCCTTCCCCCTAATATCAAACCTAAACTGCCCCAACCCCCCCCCTCCCCCCCAAATATTAGAAAATTCACCATTGTGGTATATTATAGTATATTGGGAATATTTAATATTAGGGGGGTTTAACATTAGGGGGAAGGGATTACAACCAAACTCACCCTGGAAACCTTGCCTGATGCACGAGCTTGCACACCTGAGCGCCAGGGGGCTCAAAACAAAGTCTTGAGAGGATAGTTTTGTGAGTTTAATAATAAAATCACCCGCAGTTCCCCAATTTTTGGTGAGTATTCAAAATAAGATATTCTTATAGGCTGAGGGTTACTATTATTAATATTAATACGGGAGTGGACTACTCTACTTATTTTTATAGGGTGAGTTTTGTTTTTATTACGGGGGTGGATTAATGACTAGTCCTGTGGGCATTGGTAGCTTGGGCCAAGAAGTCCATGCGGCAGACCTGCGTCAGTGCTACTAATGTAGACCCGTGATTAATAAACCCCCTCCACTTAATGGAGATTATAATAGGGATCCTCAGATTAAGGCCCTTAAGCAGAAGGGGGTTTATTAATCATGGGTCTACATTGCCAGCTTTAAGCATCCAATCGCCCGTCTTGACTTGAACTATAGTCTACGCTCCTAGAATGCCCCTTAAGAAGCCTGGAATAATCCCATATCCAATCCCTCATAGGCCCCCTTTAAAAAGTGTAGACTGCAGTTCATTTGATGTTGCTTTGCGGGGCTAGGTCTTTTTGGGTTGCAGCTAAGACAAACAATGCAACACACATCTTTGCTATACAATGTTATCGCGTCCTACAACAAGCCTCTTGGAAAGCCTTTGGGTTCTAATTACATTGTCCATGCAAGAAGGGTACCTCAAACTTTATCGCCCGAAGCTCAAGTTACAATCCGTCTGTAACCCCATAAAGGCGAGGGGCCAGTGAAGACCCCAGTATCCTAAAGTCCTTATAAAGCCTCCTAGCTGTTGGAACCCGCCCCAATCCTCGTTAAACTGCTTGGCGACAAGAACCTGTAGCTCCGGCCTTGTGCTGCTCCTCTGCAAAGCGGGCCTTGTCTTTACCTGGGATTGCGATGCGCATGGGAGAGCACATCAGAAGCTATAGCTGACTATTTCTCGGAATACTGTATGTGAGATATCTTGGAATCAGGAAGTGGTAGATAGAGGAGTGGCCGATAGAGAGCATCTATCCGAAGATCCGGTCACTCTGCCTAGTCGGAGGTCTGCCTTGAGTTGTACTTGGACAAGCCGGCCAAGCCCACTACATCTCCTTAAAAAGCGGAATCGCCACCAGAACTTCTTACTAAAGAATGCAGATTTTCACGAACATGAAGACCGCTATGCCTCACAATGGCAATTGTGTGAATCATGAGCTTCTGGGCACCGTGGATCATTGAACCTCGCGGTGTTACAAAGCCAGGGTGGAAGGGTTCTGAATCCAAGGGCTTCCAAGACTGCCAAAGAGAACTTGCCAGGAACCACGCGAGGCCACCTATCCAAATTTCCCCCGACATTGCACGGACGTACAACACAGAATTTGTGCCAACTGGGTAGATGCGAAATTGAGGTCCCGGCTTTTTTGCTCCAACATATCCCAACATACTATACTCTTTATAATGTCATGCAAATTGGAATCCAGCCGCCCTCATCCATTGGCGTGTCTTCCTGCGCAGTACCGCAGCTGAGGTGGTGCTGGGTGGGGTGGACAACGCAAAACGAAATGGCTGCATGTCAGGTTCAGAGCTACGTCCAAAGTAAGCAGAGTGAATACTAATGTGACTGCCAATTTTGTGTTGCAGGGATCTTGAAGCAAGTCTGACTCGATTCCGACTGCTATCACAAGAAAGCCAAACATTCAGGACACAATGCCGTGCAACTCCCAAATGCCAACGAGCCGTTGGCCTATCACGTGAAATCCTAGGTGGGCTAAATGTTGGCCCCTTGAAAACACGACTGTGTCAGGCTTCCCATGCCACTGGCCCACTGGCAGAAGCCCCTTGCAAACCCCCGGCCTCATCTTTAAGCAATGGGCCAATGAAGCCGAAGAGGGCGGTTACATCATCCACCGAGCTGAGGGCCCGGTTGTCCTGGCTGAAGCGAAAGGGCGTAAGGTTTTGGGTTCGGTGTTGTTTAGCACCATCAGCAAACAGATAGAATACGTGCAATCCAGTGCACACACTGCGTCATTCGGATATTTTTACACATCAGTGTAAGAACAGCTGGCTGCAACAGCTTAATTAAGCTGTAAGCGGAGTGTGGCTTCGCCTACAAGTTCTGGTGCTTTAGGGTTTGAACCTCACTAGCCCGCACCTGCAATGGTAAGTTAACCCCTGCCTTGCGCTATCCGGATACAAGCCGTGTAGTCCCCAAAACATGGCCGTGGCTCACGGGGGGCCCGCCCGTCCTCTACAATTGCCGTGACCATGTTCAGGGAGACCTGCGCATGGTTTCTTGACCATCATGTTGGCTTGTGCATAAGGGCAGCAAGATCGAATGTGTAGCTGCCATGGCCTAGAGACTATTAAGCAAATCTTGCGGTCAGACTTTTCATACCCAGATACTTGTATGCTAAACAATGGCGTAGCCACCTGCTTCCGGGTCTCGAAATTCAAGAAGCCCACCAGGCCCTGCAAGCGAGGTACCGAGGGACGTAGCAATACTTCAGGCCAGACCGAGGGTTGTCTCAAACTTCTTGGTCGGTATCTGTTGATCTCAAGATTCGGCTGAAATACACTGAGCTGAAGAAAGGCCCCTCCCGTGGTTGTGGGCATATCCGATTGTTTTTCTTTTTTCTGGGGTTCTGGTCAAAAAGCACCTCTCATGTGGCCCTGCAACATGTCAGGTTGACGCCTCAGGACAAATGACAATTTGTTAGCTAGTTGCCAATTGTCAGGGTAGAATCTTCGACTAAAACTGCTCGTCAGCAGATCCTATTTCTTGGCCACATAAGCCATTACTGCAAAACTGGAAATGGGTAAAGACGCTAGATTTTACAGTACAACGATCACACCTCACACACCTTCAACATATTTTCCGATTTGCGTGGCTGAACATCTTAAGTGTCAGGAGAGAACTAGGCCGAGGCCCATGCGGCGAAGTGTTCCATCCTTGGTCAAGCAAACTAAACTTGGAGCGCGCGTGCTCTAGCTTCACAATGGGCGTTGGTGGATCACTTCGTTTTTTTCAAACATGAGCATTTTTCTGGGACATTGCAATTCCTCGCTCACAGACTAACGAAAACTTCTAGTTACCACGCCGCACTGCTGCGGACTTAAAGAAGCTGCAGCAACAAAGTCGACGGATCTATGGGGTGCACGCCCTGCAAATAAAAGATGTGACAGGCGAATTTACAGAAGGTTCGAACCTATTCCCCAAGGTCCCATGCAGGAATGGTCAGGCAATCATGACAGAATGAACATCACGACGCTTGAAGCGGAGTGCACGGAGTTGTGGACAGCAAAAAAACACCACTGCTCATAGAATGCGGGACTTGAGACGAAACACATGCGCCTGTGCTTTCGGGCGGGGCTTGGTGCCACAAGCAGAACCCCACCGGGACCCACTGAGGTTGGTTCATCTATTATTGCCGTAGGCATTGTGACCGTCATTGCTTAAATCATGCTTCCTACTTTGGGGCCAAGCTTTGCCAGCAGGTGTATGTCATCAACACTGCCTCGTTTGCACCCGTTGCCATCTCAATGACTCCATAACTTGTAGCTCTAGGATTCGAGGTTGCCATGTCATGCAATTTTGAAACCTGCAATGCGTATTCGCGCATGTATGCTGTTGTGCAACATGCCGTCATGCAACATACGCTCACAGCTGCGAAAGCGAACTTCCAGTAGCCAGTTGGCCGACACAGAAATACATTTTGTAATCGCTGAGTGCTGTTGCTAGGATGGATGCATTGTAGCTGGTATCTCTTCTATGACTCCGACTGTGTCTGTTGTCACAACTCATGTCCGCACTATCACTCGTGACAGCAGGCCTCATTCTGAATGGCATCAGTCATAGAAGGGCTTTGTTTGACATTCTCATTTCAGCTTAAAGTGCTTGTTGCCCCGCCGTTGCGTGGCATTCAAATCTTGCCATATTTCAGCTATCGCTCTAAAGATATTCATCACTATTGCTGTTGACGAGCTTTTGAATGCAGCATAGTTGCTGAAACTGGTTCAAGCAGTCCTGCCGAATCCTTGGGCGGTGGAGGAAAATCCTCTTCAGACCATGCGGCCCCCTATGGAGACATAGTCCCAAACATCAATGTCTCGGCAGGCGGCTCAGATTGACACCTTCAGATCTGCAAACCTGTTTTCCGAACGAATCGTAAATGTCTATGTGATGACAGTGCAGGCGACAGGAAGTGCTTGACCTCTTATGAAAGTCCAAGGAACCTGGCATGTTTTTGGAAACCTTCCTAATCTTACCCTAAACCCTAAACCCTAAACCCTAAACCTTGTGCTGAAACCGAGGGCTAACCTTAGATCTCCCCATGGCTTTTACATGTTTCGATGCTCTCCGAAGCTTTCTTGAAATCTACTTCTTGTCACTTATCTGGATTTGGATCTCTCGCAGAACTCACGGCTTCCTGATAAAGAAATCGGAATCTTCTATAGCTTATTCATGTCCATTCTGCTGGAAACCGCGTCCCTGCAACACAAGAAGACATCCTAAGATACTTGACAGGTCTTCGTTCGAAGCTTCAGGTTTTATGGAAGTGTAAAAGGGAGGGCTTGATTTCTTCATAAACCTTTCTTTGCTAACGGTGCTCAGGAGACAGCTCCTTCTCCTCAAGCAAAACTTTCCAAGATTCAAGCGGACTTAGCAGACGCGCACTCATGTGCTGCAACTAAGTCGCCCTCCCAGTTCTGGTACTTTGGTTGCTGTTAAGGAACTTAAACTAAATCACTATATTGGGGTAACCATATTAATTACTATATATATACACCCATTATGGTAACCGAACCTAAGTTCCTCAACAGCAACTCAGTAATGCAGGGTTTGTTAGGAACTTTTTTCCAATGCGGTCATCCCCTCCCCGTAATATTAAACTTTCCCACCCTCCCTAATATCAAATACTCCCCGTGGTATATCATATATTGGGCATGATTAATATTAGGGGGAGTGGGGGGTCTAATATAAGGGGGAGCGGGTTGATAAACTTCCTGGGCAACCACCCATGTCGTTTGCATCGACACTTGGTCTGGCGTCATTGCTGGATAAAATGTGAAACTTCACCGTATTAAAGCCCACAAAAGAACATGTTACCATGAGCTTTATTCATATCCCAGTGCGGACCAATAGTATTTGCCATGGATGCTGCGCTTGCTCTTCGGTCGATCAACTCTCAGCACATTACTTGCTGGTTTTAATAAGCAATGGAAAGAACATGTCACATGTATTTGGACACATCGGGTTTAGGGTGAAATTGCTGGTTGTTATTGGAATGGAACCTGCCACGGAAACCAATGCTTTTCAATTCCTCCATTCCTTACCGACAAGCAGCAAGCTTCACATGCAAATCAGAACAATCATGCTGCCCATCCAGATTGTCTAGGGCTTGGGGTGTAGGGAAGATCCTGCCTCGCATCGATGCAAAAGGGCGACCCATATTTTCAGTAGCAGGAAACTGTGCCAGCATTCTGAGCCCCTTTTGAGTCCTTCTGAAACAACACTGCGTTCTTCCGAGGCATGCCCTGATGGGAATCAAAACTCAAGGCATACCCATCCGGGACTATGTGCAAGTGATTGTCAACATAAAAACTGTTTGTTTTGTTATCCTTTCAACCAGGACTACCGTTGCTGCTGTACTTTCAAACTCTGATCATCACTAGTGTCATTTGTATGCCAACCAAGGCAGCAACTACGCAAGTTTGAGATCATCTTCATAGATTTGCCAGGAGCATTATTTGAAGCGGCCTTCTTTGGAATCCGAGCTGGAATCCCTACATTGCCCCACATCTTCCCTATGTGAACCCTAAACCCTAAACCCCTAAACCCTAAATCCTAAACCCCTCTTCCATCCTTTTGGTGTTCTGTATATGGGATCTGCATTAATGACAAGGGCCTTCATTTTCCGCATGGATCTTTAGGCTTAGGGTTTAGGGTTTAGGAAGGGGAAGGGGACGTGAGATCGCCAGAAGCCATGGATTGCTAGGAGTTTCAGGTTTTAACGTAGACCCGTGATTGATAAACCCGCTCCCATTGATAGCGATGCTAGTAGGATCCGAATATTAAGGCCCTTAAAAGGCGGGGGTTTACTAATCACAGGTTCACATGAGGGTTCAGGTTTAGAGCGGTCAGTACGAGGGATCCATTGCAGCCCCCATGGTCCTTGAGGGTGGTAATAGTTCCCTTTTTCGAACTCTAACACACCGAAAGAACACCCCAAACCCTAGAGTCGATGACCTCCAAACACCAAGTCCTGAAGTGCTGTCCTTTGCCCGCTTAAACCCGTACTTGAAACTTCGTTACAACTTCAAATCATAAGGATGCCATGTCCAAAAAACTTCATGCAGTTCCACGATGTTTGCTGAACCCACCTGTGGCTTCTCAACAGGGACTAGGAGCGGTATAATGAGGCTCCCCATGAGAGACTATACAGGTATGTCCATCACAACAAGGTTCCCCCTCAAGTAGCCCAAGCTACGCAGCCTTTTAGTCTAACAACAACCAAAATTTGATCTGAGCTTTTTTCAAAGTCCAAGCCCTTAATAAGTATAACCCTTGTGTAGCCCCTAGGCCACGTATGTAACTACTATACTCCCTCCCTCATGTTAGGGCCCCCACGCAAGGGACATTTATTGGGGGAGGGAAGCTCGAAAACCTAGACCCTACAGTAAATCCTACATCCTGAATCCTAAGCCCTAAGTCCTAAACCCTAAGCCCTACATCCTAAATCCTCAACCCTAAATCCTAGACCCTAAGCCCTACATGGGATGCTTTTGAGACATAGTAGTTTCCCTATATAGGGGGACCCCAATACAGAACCCAAAATACTATCATGCGCATTAACAGGACGCCCCCTAAACCCTAGTACCTGAACCCTGTATAGCCCTATGAATTACCTTATGTCCCCTTTTGAAGGGTACCCCCAATATTTGGGAAAGCCCCAAACCCCAAACCCACCCTAAACCCTAAACTCCAAACCCTTAACCCTAAACTCCAAACCCTAAACCCTAAACTCTAACCCCCAAACCCTAAACCCCAAACCCTAAACTCCAAACCCTAAACCCCTAAGTCCTATATAACGCCATTAATTATAGTAGTTTCCATTTTCTTTTCCATTATCCCTATATAACCCTATATAACCCCTATATAACCCCATCAAAGGTGCCCCAATAGCAACTTTGAGCCAGGGGGCTTGAGAACTCCAAGGCCCAGGGTCTTCATTGGTCCGGCCCTTGGCCCAAAGGAAAGGGGTTATATAGGGATTGTATAGGGCCTATAGGGACTACTATAGGGCTTATTGAGGGGGGTTTGGGGTTTAGGATTTAAGGTTTTTGTTTAGGATTTGGGGCGTAGGATTTAGGAGTTAGGTTTTAGGATTTAGGTCTTAGGGTTTAGGATCCAGGGCTTGGGGTTCAGGATTTACCAGGATTTAAGGTCTAAGATGTAGCTTCTCGTTTTT